AAGAGCGGAAAAAAAGGGGGACAGTAAGGTTCGTCGCAAACATCTGGGGCCTGAAGCCTCGTGCACACGAGGCATGCTTGTTTATCTATACGAAATCCATTGGAAGCTTCTGCCGTATTTCCTGTCCGTGCGCTGCACACTTTTCAGATTTCCCACTCAGGATATTCTATGAACATGGAAAAAAAAAGGAATCAAAATAACTGTTGCATCGAACGAGATCATTGGATTTATTGCATACCTCCTTAAAGGTCGTTCGCGTGGAACGTTTGTGAACTGACGTTATATCTCGTGTTTTAAAGAGCTCGCTCCTACCAATCGATGGGCTAGGCTAGTTCTACATCCAATGCCGTCGACGCGAGTTACACTAGTCGGGTTTTATCTTCGAGATAACATCCTACCAATCAATGCCTCCGCATCCGTGCATTGCTCCCAACCTTCGAATGCGCTTTACCGTGCTATTGGCCTCACGATCTCACGTCGTACGCGGTGTGGTACGGTGTGTACTCGGCCAAACAGGCGAAAACGAGACAACCACGCAGTTCGACCGGGAGTTTGCTTCTAAAACTGCTTACAACGCAAGGCTGCTGTAACACGACGATCCTGCGGCGTGCCTCTTTAAACCACACCCGGAACGCTGCCTCGTGTTCTCGAGACGCTTGCTCTTTTTTTCGAAAATTCTCGTACGCGTCCGCACCGTGGGTCTCACTCCGCTCAGGCGCGTAACCAGCCTTTTGAAAACGGGGACCTTAGGAAGGATTTTCTACTATTTTTCGCGGCTACTTTGTTTTCCCGTACTCGGTTTCTAAACGAGGAACATCGTCTCGTGCGGTCGGTATAAACGGCTAATAAAAGGATATGACTCTAGGGAATTTTTTCTCAGTCGACGCGTAGGAAATTAGTTGAGCACTCTAATCGACTTTCAAATGCCTACGATAGTTAATAACGGTTGAACACATGTTTTTAGAAATGACACAATAAATTCGAACTGAACATGTAACGTTTGTGAATTTCGAAAAGTGAAATATACATTTTCCTTGTATTCTCAATTAATGACATAATCATTTGTTTGTAATTATGACAATCTTCGTTGCCGATTTTAAACAATAGTGCAAAATTATAATGCGTATATTCGAGACTTGTACAATTTTTTAACGCGAAACGTTTGAATTTTATTATCTGTTGAAAGTGCTGCGTAGTTTAATTTTGTTGGTTTTTCAAAAATTACAGGAAATAGTTGTTAAAAATTTTAAAGATCAAATACAAAAGATACACAATGAACAATTGCTTGTTTTAATTTCTTTTTGTTTTTGCTTTCATTTTTCTCGTGTGCAGCTGCTGTACACTCGCATTAAAGTACAATACAGAAATTGATCTGTAGTTTTCACCAGATGTTCAGTACTTGCAGAATTGTCACCTTGCCGTTTGGTCGACCACTTCCGTTTCTTTATTCTGAACAACGATTATTTTTGTACATCGTCATATACCAAATATTCCAATTATTTTGTATGTTTCATTACATTTATCAAATGTTCTTAGTTTTCTCAAAATACTACTACTTTCATACGATTTAAATTCAACGAATTAAATATTTTATTAAATATTAAAAACACATGGAAATTATTGTAGATGATTGTATTTAAAAGGTCACTTAAAAATTCACAGTTGCACTTCCCATTAATTGCGTAATAATAAAGTTCATTTTTCTATCTATCATGGCATATTAATTTTCCAGTTTTTTTTTTTTTAATTGTAACAAGAAATTTTGTCATTTTCTCTGTGAAGACAAATGCGTTCTTTGGAATACGAGTTCTATTATTAGGATCTACCAATGTTGCTTGATTCAAGAATAAAAACCTTCTCCCCTATGCTGTCTGTTCTTTGATATGCATCTAAAAAGTCGCTTCTCCTTAAATGTGCTATCGCGACCGAATAAAATACACTCACAAATGGGTGGCACTGACAAAAAGTCGAGAATGAAGGGACGACGATCGATAGGAATTTTTATCGGATCCGTACACCTCACTGTCAATAATTTTCACATATGAATGGTATATTTTTGATAAAGCATATACTGTCGACAAGGTTAACAAGGTACTAATATCTCGTTAAAATGTTGCATTTCAAATTTCCTGGCCAATCTTTCTGCTATGTTTCAAATTTTCATTAACGGATATCAAGTAGCGACACATTTGAGATAATAAACAATTTTTTGTAATGAACGATATGAAATGAAAAATACGTATCCGCCAAATCAGTATACATTTATTAACCTTCATGGACGATGCTGTAGTGTAATGACACGTTTTCTGAAAAACTTCGACAACTAAATTTTATTAATCAAAAGTAGGAAAAGATATTTATAAATGTCATTATTTATGTAATTAACATTAACTTCGTGATTGCTATATTGTACAAATATATAATGATATTAAAAAACATTACACTAATATTAAATGTAATTATTTAAATATACAATAAAAACTACTATTTTATAAACAGTGTAGAAATATTTGTTAATATTTTGTATCTGATAATAAATTTATTCCAGTATTTTACATAATTTTGTAAGGAAATTTATGGAATATTTGTCTTATGTATTTTTGATTGTATTCTATAAAAAAATGTACATTATGTTTCAAAATATTTGTATTTTCGTGATAATACTTCTTTTTATATTCGTTCAACAAGTTTACTTGTATGTATTTCTATTGCATACATTGATACTTTCATGTCATGACAGAAATCTGTAACTAGTTATTTTCTGCAATAATTATCAGTGAAATTTAATTTTAATGCAAAGTGAAGAAATATTTGATATTAGGCAAATAAAATTTCATCTATGAGTTATTAACTAGAAATATATATTGAACAGAACAACCTCAATAACAGAATATAAAAGTTTCTAAGGCATTGTACCATAATATTATGTGAGTTAGGTTTGTTTTTGTACCAAGTTTTAATTTAATACTTAAAATTCTTAATTGAAAATATTTAAAGAAATTATTACTTACTTTATCTTGGATATTACTTTTCTCGATCTTGCATGTTTCAAGTCTTATATCATAAGTTTCTTATTTCACAACTTTATACTTTTATATTTTTATTATTACTGTTATAGATTCTTATAAACAACAAAAATGCCTCGAGTAAGGAGACAAGTGGTCTTGGAAGATCCTGCCAGGCCTGTCACACCAGATATGGTGGATACTAAATTACGTATGTATCAATTAGAAGTCATTTAGTAATTTTCATTTGATTTATTTACTTATTTGTAAATGTACAAATTTTTTTCAGTAAAAACAGAGTTTTTGGATGATGGGTCTTTGGATGAGGTGCAAGCACAAAAAGTGGCTGAAGAGACGCCAAGTCCTCATCTTCAAGACCACCAGTATGGACAAACACCTTGTTATCAAGTAACAAGGAAACCTACACAATCACCACCACGAACTGAAGTAAATACAGTCATATTTATAATGACATAACTTTTAAAATAAAGAATCATTATTGATGAAAAGATTAGTCAAATATAATTGCATTTTCCAGTATATTCAAAGCTTATAATATTACTTACAAGTGATTTAAGAAGTCTATTAATTATTACAAAAGTAGTTCCTTCGAAATAACATTTTACTCTATTTTTAATTTTATCAACTGTTTAATTCAATTGATATGGATAAAACTATAACAAATTATTTCATAGTAGTAAGGTTAACATTACAACATATTAATATTATATTTTCTTATGTTTTTGCAGCAAATTTCAGTACAGGCAGTGAAAAGAAGACTGAATCTGGAAATGGGAACTACAGGTCCCAGCCAATCTGCCTTTAAGGCTCCTAGAGGTAAACGTAGGAGATCTGGATCAAGTTCCCTAGCTGGCCACACACCTACAAAAAGTAAATTTCACTTTTGTTTCTTTAAATATTATCGTTCGCATCTTCGAGGAAAAGAAATGTTATCTTCGTTACAGGTAAAACAGTAGAGAGAACGCGGTACGATACATCACTGAGCTTACTTACAAAAAAGTTCATACACTTAGTTGAAAGCAGTCAAGACGGTGTTGTAGATTTAAACGTAGCGTCTGAAAAGTTAGAAGTACAGAAACGTCGTATATATGACATTACGAATGTATTGGAAGGCATAGGTATTTTGGAGAAGAAAAGTAAAAACAATATACAATGGAAGTACGTTATTCATTGTTTATCAAGAACTAAATACCAAGATTTTCTACCCGAGTGGTAAACGTAATCATTGTGTTTTACAGAGGCGGTCAGTTACCAAACGACAGGAACGATATCGCTGATCTCAGAAGGGAGGTGGCAGATTTAGAAGCTAAGGAAAATACTTTGGATCGATTGATTCACGGTGCAAATAAAAACCTTAGGGAACTCTGCGCAGACAGACAATACGCTTATGTAACGTACCACGATTTACGTTCTGTCCCAATGTACAAAGACCAAGCTATAATGGCAGTAAAAGCTCCGCCAGAAGCTACTCTTCATGTTCCACAACCTATTAATAACCTTGGTCAACAAAAGGTAATCATTGTTCATTATTTAAGTAAATTAAAATTGGAAATATTTTTGAATCGCTTATTGATTGCGTTATACGTTCTTTTACAGCTTCAAATGCACATGAGGTCATCTCATGGAGAAATAGAGGTGTTCCTCTGTCCCGATGATCCTGCAGTTAAAACGTCTCCCAATTCGGGTTACACGACGACGCAACCTGTGCCTTCGTCAAAAGAATCCGATTTACCCTGTCTGCCTCCTGAAATGCTGGCCAATGGAGATAGTGGGGTTCGGGTTGAACCAGTACCTTCTGTTGAGAGTTCGTTGAATACTCGTTTGAGTACTCCGATTATATCTGCAGTTACCAGTTTAGCAGGCATGAGGGACGCGCTTTTGTGTGAATCTGATGATTACGGACCAATGGGTGGTGGCAAATTCCAACTCCAAACGGAGGATCAAATTAGCACTCCAGGTAGGATCGCGTATATATATAATTAGGATTTAGTAAGATTCACTTGCTATTCTATTTTTTCATTTTTTTCTTTACGAATGCTTTTGAAAAATAATAACTTAATTTAGGAAAACAAAATTGGTGCATTTGTATGCAATATTGATTTTAATTCCATTATAAAGCTAATTTTTTTTATCCATCTCTTTTTTGCTATTGTTCTCAGCACGTACGCTTTTAAATGTACCGCTACATTTCAATGCGAATGCAGGACGTAAAATGCTAATAATCGCAATAAGGTGAATACTACCTTTTAAATATAGAAATAAGGATCTAAAAAGAAGCAAAAATTATTTAATAATTGCTTTCACACAATTGTATAATTTATAATGAGCACAAGTGTTAACTTGCTTATTTTCACCTTTTTGCATTACTTACCACATTCTTTATGTTCGTTTATTAATACACATTAACACGATAATTTATAATTGCTAATTTAACAATTTAATGCAATGTTTTGATTAATTTTTTATCGATTAATGTCTCTACATTTCTTTAACTGCAATGTTCCTTTTCATTGCAGTTGTATCCTTTTCTTTCATACTTCTTTCTTATCGTTATCATTGTTATATTTTTATATTATTTTTTTTTTGTTCTATTTTATTTCGTTTTTTAATAAATACTTTTCACACTGCAATTTTTTGTCTCTATGCTTCCAAGATGTTTCAAACGGAAATACGTTTCTTTCTTGCTGAAATAAACGAGAGATTTGTAATAACGATACTAAAATCTTAAACTCGAAAGGAACGTTGCTCATGCACTGATAAATTCCATAACATTTCTCACAAAAAAAATAATCCGTCCGAGAAAAAGGGATAGCGAGAGTTAATATTCCGTTGTCCCTCGAATTCTACTAACTTGAGCTATCTTTTTTCCTCGGTCCTCTACATTTTCAACAATGGAGGATAGCCGTACCCTGATGGAGCTCTGGCTGTGACTTGTGTATTAAGAAAATTCAAATCACATCACAGGCAGAGTTCTAGTTAGGTAACGGTCTCAAACAGCGAAGCTCGTGTCGCGCGAAGGTACGTTTCATAGATCAAATAATTATTGGCTTGTTTGTGTTTCAGTGCAGATGTATGTGTACTCTCCTTCTTCTGGCATCCTCCTCACTGTGGCATACACCTCATTATAGAATGCTTTTAATCCCTTTACTCTGTGGCTTAAAATGTCTTATTTCCTCACTTAGCGCTGAATTAATATTCTTTTACAAGCAGATGTGGCAAATCTCACGAAAATCATTCGCAACGTAATCATCCTTAATTCCATAGAACTCTAGCTGTAGTACGTTTCTGCTTCTAACAAAATAATCAAGATCAATCTGTTCACTTACAAATGCAATAAAGTATCAAACGATCGATGAAATAAAACGGATAATAAACTAATATAGAAAGTGTTCGACTCTAACGCTTTAAATGTCGCGAATTAGTATCGAAATTAAATAACATCCTCGCTTATGAATTGCCGATTGAAATGGAGCAAATCAAACGAGCTTGAACATCCGAATGTGTAATTGACTCCTGATAACTTTGAACGTTTTCAAAAATTGACGAAACGCGAAGAAGAAAATGATAGATAAATAAACAGTAAAAGCCAGTCTCTGAAAGTGGAGATACTCGATAAGACAGGACAAGCCCAGCATTTTTTCTCTCTTTTGTTGCAGATCTAAGTATTCTCGATTTCGGAGAGCACCTGCTGTCCCTGGAACCGCCTCTTTCCGAAAACGACTATTCGTTCTCGTTAGGCACGGAGGAGGGACTTTCGGATCTCTTTGATTTCAAATTCTAAAGGATATCGTCCTAATCGTCGTCGTCGTGACACGCAACACACCCCTGTCTTTTTTGGACTACCACTCTGAGTTCGCCTCCCTAGTATTCGAACGGATAGAGGTCACTTGGTTAATCCGATAATAATGCGAGCACTTTCGTGTCGTACCGATTGGCAGTTTTCGTTGTTAACTTCTAAGGGAACGATCGAGCAGTACGTAGCATGTAGTTATCTATCGGTCCATTGTTCGATTAGGGTAATAGAAGCAGGGACAGTTTGACAAATACGTACGAAACACAATCAAATTCACGGCACAATAAAAATGGAAAACGAAAAAAAATCGGCACACTGCTGACCTGGTTTTAAGTAAACGGTTTCGCTTCTTAGTTTCTGTGAAGGAAGGAAGACAAATGAGAAAGACGAACACACGTGTAAATATCATTGAAAAAGTATATAGATAGGACGTGTTATTCGAGTACCGAATAGTATTTTGTCGAACATGTGTCTCACGTCGAGGTGTTTTTAGCAAACGTTTCCGCAAAATCAACCGCACACAATGTGTATCACGGTCGGTCCGCTTTCAAAATTCTGCCTCTGCGAGGACAAGAAGAGCATCAATAATTAACGGGGGAAAGACATATCACGCCAACGGTGAACGCGCGCGCGGTCAGTACTTCCGGCCTGACATGGTCGCAGCCGATTGAGTTTCCGGGATAATAAGTTGTAAAGCTGCCCTGGCGGAGTTGAAGCGCCGTTTTCTTGTGCAATGTGTAATAATACTGTAAATGATGTTAAGCGTATGAAGGCTATAGAAGTGGAGGAACGATGGAAGAGGAAGTGGAGGATATATATGACGTTTCAAAGAGAAGAGAGACTGGACTCGTGTCGACGAACAACTACGATGTTTCCCTTTTTGGTTTCCTTTTTTCTTTCATGTGGTTAATCAATCGAATTGTATAAAAATTACTACTAGAATCGATAGCGTACGCGGAAGAAAAGTCATTTCGATGAAAGAAGTCCCTCCTAGCGTAATGTTTCTATCGACGTGATATATATAATTGAAGAGGAGAGAGAGAGAGAGAGAGAGAGAGAGAGAGGAGAGAAAAAAGAAAAAAAAGAAAAATAAGAAAATAGAGAACAACGGATAAAACGTCTTCCGGGCGGTCGCCTTCTCTTGTCACTGGGACTGACTAATTGTTTTTTTCTAAATCATCGTGCTTAAGCCGAGAGACCGCCGTCCGGAAGGGTTGAATTGTAATTATTAAAAATTTTTGTCGAGACGATCGATGCGTAGTAAGCTTTATCGACGAAGAAATCGTTTGTAAAAAGAAAAAATGAAGACAAAAAAAGGGAGAGAGAGAGAGAGACGACGAAGATGAAACGCGAGCGGCTGGATGGCATAGTTTTTATTCTATATACTTTTGTAATCGGTCGAATTTTCCGAATAGAGAGCGAAAATTTGTACAGTTCGATGCACGAAATACGAGGATAAAAAGAAACAAAAAAAAAAAAAACTAATAATAATGAAGTATATAATAATTGAATTTATCTGTCGGTGCGGATGAGGAGCATTTTGTGACATGTAAAAATATACACACATACAAAAGCACGTACATTACATACATACATACACGAACATCATCATCTCACAGTCTGATCCTATCGGAGGAAAAATATTGTACAGTCCGGCTATTGATCATCATCATCGTTTTGGATTAAGCTTGTTCGACGATGTCGAAGCGAACATGGAGACGAACTCGAGCGTACGATGGGAAAAATAGATGAACGAAGGAGGAAAAGAGAGTATAAGGAGAAGAATCGTAATGCAGATAATCTTAGGCGGTATCGTTGCATGTAAACGCATGTGTATTTAATTCGAGTCGTAACGATGGAGAGAACGTCTAAGATTCTTTTTCAGGATACAGTGCTATTCTGGACCTGATTTAACAAGGGGTTTTTCGAAGAGAATTTTACACCAGTGCGTCTAGACTTTTGCCGCGTGTAACGGGACGGGAAAAGAGAAGCTTAATGTCAGCGTTTCAGTGAAACTTTGTTAAGACGTGAGCATCGATGACGAATATTGTTCCTGAAGAAATCGTGGACGCACTGGAGGGAATTGTCTCAGCTGGAAGTCTCTTAAGGATGTACCCTAAACGTACAACTTAGTGTACGTCCAAAGCCATAGTGCCTACACAATAATGATCACACCCTTCTGCAAAACTGTAAATAATTTACATACTATACAAAGTATATATACATATATATGTATATATATGTATATGTATATGTATATATATAAATATATATATATACATACACACAGACAGGCAAAATGTAAGAACGTGACGACCCCGATGGACAAAGAAATAATAGAAAGAAAAACCGAGTGCTGCGGACACCTCATTGCGATTATCACGAAATATCGATTAGTTAGTTTTAATTACGATTAATAATTAATTATTGAAGCATTACACGAGGAAAATGTTAGTTTATAAATTCGCTTGTTACATGTAGATATATGTATACGTATACGTATATGTATATGTAATAAGCACGTATGTTTTATAGTCAAACGAACATTGTGCAGAATAACGACAGGATTACGATTACTTGGGAATCTTGGGGAACTATCTTTTCTTTTTCTTTTTCCTCCCTCTTTTTTTTTTCTTTTTTCTTTTCTTCCCCTTTGAAGCACAGGAACGCGAACCAAGCGTTTCTTCTCGCTACGTGTATTTATTTCAACGAGTATCGCTCATTTTAGAGCAGATGAGAATTAACCAAGGATAGCTTTTCCTCCCGCCATTGTGTCGTCGAATGAAATAAGCCAATAATCCCGAGACGATTATTCTGCACAACGTTCGTGGAGCGCAATACCTATTTACAAAATGGAAGGATTCTACTAGGTTTGTTTTCTTTTTTCTTTCTTTTTCTGTTTCTTTTCTTCTTTTTCCTCGATTAAACTGGTGGCATCGCGCTTTTTTCATACGCATCGTGCAACGAGAGGGGAAGCAAAAGGGAAGAAAAAAAGAAAACAAGAAGAAAAAATGAATCGAGTGTGCGTGAACGTGTGTGAGTGGACGTGATGATCGAATGATGATAATTGATACGAATGTTCGATGGTCGACGGTTCGATTAACGATCCCGACACACCAGTGAGAAGTTACGATATTTTCTACCTGAATGTTTGCGGGGATCTCGGCCAAGTCTGAGCTCGTCCGGGATTTTACGAAGTGTAATGATAGTTCATTGATATTGTATATTTTACTCTGTTCGAAGAGTACGTTGTAAGAAACACATCGATTGAAAAAGAAAAAAAAAAAGAAAAAAAAACAGGAGAAAATAGGGGACAAAAGTGAGAAAACTGCGAGTGTCGTTCCGACGTTTTCAGACTTACCGGGATCTTTTTATAATAACTTATCGCGAAGATGGCAGTCCATCAGTTTTCATTTTTTAAGCCCGATTATTCGTGGAAACCTCTGGCCCGCTTCTGGCAGTCTGTCGAATAAGGCGCTTCTGGTATTTTACAACGGACGACAGAGCCTTTCCTTTTCTTTATTTCTCTTCGTTTAGCGGGAGTTTTATGATCTTTACTTAACGCGAACCGGAGCATTGTGTATAAATTATTAACGTTGTTTCGGCGAGCAACAACGACGATTCGATTATTTAAATTAAGGGGGAGATGGAAAACGAAAAAAAAAAATATGAAGATTAAGGAGTAATAGAGACGCGTTGCTTTCGAGATACATCGATGTTCTTTGGAATTTTCTTGATTCTAATTCGTCAATGATTCCTTTTTTTAATCACTGTTCGCGCGCGCACGCGTACAATACGCACGCAAATACACTTTTCTACGAATGTATTTGAGAGACTGTTCAGAAATAATACTTAAAAAGAAAAAGAAGAAAAAATTAATTCTGATCGATTGTCTTAGAAAGAGGGAAAAGAAAAAAAAAAAAATTGAACGATGTATGTACCAATACGACGAACGAGAATTTTGTCACATTTTACGGGCACGACCCGCCGAAAGATACAGTGAAAAGAAGATTGAAAAGAAAAAAAAAAAAAAAGTGAAGAGGAAGTTACAAAATATAACCTTGTGTAACGTCATAGGGAGATGTGATGTTTTTAATTTTCCATAACCTTCGTGTTCGCTTATTACGCCCTATACGAAAACCAATGTTTCGTTTATTTTGTTAACAAAAGTAGGATGATGTATTTATACGAATCGGCATTTCTGTTGTCCGACGTTAAACGCTCGTTATTCGAATCGATTTTAAATTTAAGTTGCTCGTATAATTTTGCATCGGAAAATTCGTTCGTAAAACTTGCGTATAAGTTCTAAATGTCTATATCAAAATAACGATTAATGTAGCAAAAGAGATATTTTTTATGTACGTTTAATACGTATAACGGTATGAAAAAATAAAGCGTCAAAACTTGATTTTGATCGTTATAAACGTATCTACGCTTAATATACGTGTATCATTATGAACTCGCATAAGTAAGCGATTTATAATTTTAACATTTAAATCTATAATTTTGATATTTTATTTCGATTATAATTTTGTCAAGGAAAAGAAAATTAAAAGGTATATATGAAAACATGAATCAATGCGTTATTTAACTGAGAAATATACGCATTTACCTTATTTCAAACGAAGTGCGCATGCGCAACGTTCACACGCGGTCACTTATCTTCGCGCTACAGTTGATCGTTTACCATTCCCGCGTCAGCGCCTGAAGAGTGAGCTTCGTTTGTGTTTCATATATTTTGACTTTTCTACATATATATAGATATATAAATATCTTACAGTCGTATATACAAAAGTAAAATTTAGACATAATGTATATATGCTCATAACATTATTAGTTATTTTCGTACTTTGTATCGATACATTATAGGTTAGAATAAGCAATAGATAACTGTCGTACATTTCACAGATTGTACATTTGGCTTACAAAAAATATATAACTGTTGTTATGTCAGTTATTTGTAATCGATCGCAATACTTATTTTAGCATAAAGAAATACACGTGACATTTTAATGCCTATTATTATTTATGTTATTACAAATTTAAGTTTTGAATTATATTTAAATCAAATCTGCGTCTCCTTCGGACAGGCTTGATAATCGGGCAAACGAAAACTCCCTAGCACTGAGAATTTTATCACTATACACAATCGTTCGCAATGCGTATTAGCCTTTATGTGTGAATTTTTAAGATATAATCTAAGACGCTATGTTCAAAGTTCTGCTTTAAATTGATCAGTGAAAATCAATTGTTTTCCATTGGCGCGAATTATCGAGCTATTTCCTAAATTTAGGCAATATTTAAAACTGACGGCTCAAAAACCAACAGCCAAAATAAGCAACCTAAAGGATACAAGTATGCCACCGAAGTGTAAATTTCAAGAAGGTATATGTTTAATTTTTAATACATATGTACCGAAAGTTCTCGTGTACATTTAATGAATTTTTATTACTGAATAATAAATATTTTTTTTATTCGTTCGTAATCTTTGATTTGGTTTTCATTAAATATGTTATTATTTATAGGGGAGAAAGTCTTATGTTTTCATGGTCCATTAATATATGAAGCAAAATGTCTAAAATCCTCCATTACTAAAGAGAAACAGATTAAATATTTTATTCATTATGCTGGATGGAATAAGAAGTAAGTTTCCATTTATATTATCTATTTCTACTAAGTTTCATATTATAAACATTAATGTAATATAAACAGTTGGGATGAGTGGGTTCCAGAAAGTAGAGTTCTTAAATATAATGAGGCAAATGTACAGAGACAGAGAGAAGTTCAAAGAGCACATTCGAATCAACAATCTGCACAGAAAAATAAGAAAGGTAGTACTTCATCTAAAACTCAAGGACGTAGAAGTGAAGGTGTACGTGAGAAGGATACTGATAGTAGAGCTAGTACTCCTGTCGCAACGGTTGATAAGGGTGTTAGTCGGTTTAATAAAAGCAGCAGTAGTAACGTGACACCATCGTCGTCTCATGATTCTACTTCAGATGCTCCACGAAAAAAACGCAGGTTTGTCCCAAATAAATTTAATAGAATTTTACAAACAACTTACTATTAACCAATAAAATGTATAAAACAAAAAAAAAATTGTTACAGCCGATTGGAACCATCCGGTGAAACAGAAGAATATCTCACAAAAGTAGAGGTTAAAATTAAAATACCAGAAGAATTGAAATTTGTGCTTATAGATGAATCAGAAGTAATATTAAAACATCATAAATTACCTGCTTTACCTGTAAAAAATACAGTTGATAAAATTTTAGATGATTATGTAGAATCAAAATCATTAGGAAAAAATGACTCTGTTAGGTATTTGTGACAGCAATGTTTCATGCAATTTGTGACGCATCATTTATAAGTTAAAAAAAATATAGCATACAAAATAATAAATGCTTATTTAAACTTATAAATAATGTATAAACATTAAATTTACTATTTAATTATTTTCAGGGAAAGTACATTAGAAATAACTAAAGGTATTCGCGAATACTTTAATATTTCTCTAGGTTTACAATTATTATATAAGTGGGAACGTCCACAATTTATACAAATTATGAATGATAACCCTGAAACACTGCCAAGTCAATTGTATGGAGCATTTCACTTACTAAGGCTATTTGGTACTGTTTCTAATTATATTTTTTAATGATTATGTTAATACTATTAAAAATATTGCTATTCAATTGAATTATTTTTCTAGTGAGACTTGGAGGAATGTTATCGTATACTACATTGGATGAAAGAAGCATACAACTATTACTATCTCATTTTCACGATTTTTTACAATACTTGCAGAAACATAATACTGAACTTTTTAATCTTCAACAAGACTATGCAGACTCACCGCCAGATTATCACAGGAAATATGCCTAAGTTAGTATAAATATCATATTTTGTTCGAGACTACCACAAGGCAGCTGCAATATTTGATTAATAAACATGTACATTGATACATTATTAGAAATAATTCGATATGAAGATAGGTTATTGTAAAAACACTTAAAAATTTTACAAATCGTATGTTATATTGTTCGAAATTTTTCTAAAATGTAAGCACAGTTTTTTAGTTTCTTAAGTGTACAAAGGGATGTAATACATTTTATGGTATATACTTTAATTTAGGAGAAAATATTAATGAATTATATCTTTTATTTATTGTATATATATTGTATTATGAATTTACTATCTAATTACAATTTTATACATATTTGGAAATACTCAAGTCATGAGCATAGCTTGTGTTTGATTAATACCATTCTACTAAATACGTATTTTTATTTACTTTTTTTTAAATTATCGATTCAAATTATGTTAAATTTCGCGATTACAAAATTGAATAATTACGATAAATTAAGTGTATATAGTATTTATGTTACTACATATATGTAAATATAAAATTCTGTTATTCTTGAAACGAAATTATTAATCATCGATTGCCTATTTAAATTGTGAAGTGCAACAAGATTTGCAAATTCAATGTTATGATCAAATCATAGACATTCTGAGAATATGCAAATAGCTATTGTCTATATGCATTCATTTACATAAGAAAACAAATTTTATGTTATGTAAGACGTATTATTGTTCGAATACATACATATAGTAAAACTGAATATAGTATAATCGCGTTCAGTCAAATCGATGATCATTTTATCTCAAAAATAATATTCAAAGGCGATAAAACTAGGTTTGCGATGATCTTTCTTTTATTTACATAGGACCGGCAGTCGATAACAGCACATATATACATGAAAATCGACAAGAGTTATATATACAGTTGAATGCGTACACAAACGTATCATCTAGTCTACAAACATCAGGTCAGTCAGTCAGTGGCAAGAAAAAATGGCGGATGTCGAGTTGAACGTCGACAACCTGATACAAAGATTGTTGGAAGGTACGTGATAAAAAAAGGGCCTCTGTGAAAAGAAAGTGTGAAGTTGTTCTCGGTAATATCATCTTCAGTTTGGTGTACAGTTGATCGAAAGTTTTTTCCGTAATACCCAGTGAAAATCGCTCGATGCGAAGTCGCGCCGCGTACATCGAGTATATATACATTTCTTTCCAGCCAAAGGAAGATTAAATCGTGCGCGATCTACTTTATGACATCCGATATCTGTGTATTACGAATCTACGAATGGTTTTCTTCGAGTTTCCTCATTTGTCGAAAGTTCGTTTTACTCGTGGTCTGTAGATATTAAAGAGAGAGAAAAGAAAAAAGAAAAAGATATCGATCTTCCAGTGTTGCAGTCGTCGTAATTCTTTAGACATGCCAGACGTCTTCGGATTTATTCCGTATTTTTCTTTATTTTCTCAGAAGGCAAAACTATTTCCTTTTGTTTGTTCTCTTTTCTCATGCTACATGTCGGAACTCTTTGCGGTAAAGTATACCACACGCAGAAAGACCAGGTTCAGAAGAAAGCCAAGCTAAAAGATATTTTCTCGTCGGATTTTGTCGGTACGCAACAAGGAAACCACCCCATGTAGTTCTTTTCCGTTCTTTAGTTGCGTCTTTACCTGCCTCAACGTCGTGCGTGAACGCTCGCCATCGTTTGCTTATGATTTACAATGTAAAATGAAGTAGAAGCTAGATATAGCATTGTGGCACCTGCAACATCGAAATTCTCCCAAGATATCATCTTCATTCTCTGTCAACTCTATCATCATATTGATAATGTCCCATCAGCTTTTCTGCTACCACTGACTATACGTGAATTTAGTGATCCTTCCAGATGTAAATATTAAATAGAGGATGTATTGTAACGTGTTTAAACCAAAACTAATATATACTTAGGAAAAAGCTTTTGGGACTGTCTGTATAATGAACACATTGAACACAAATCACTTTCTTTGAACAATAAATCATGTTTATACGAAAAGTATAATTTGTGACAATCCAATATGCACGTAAAATATTGCTTGAATGCAGATTAGTTTACTTGCATGCTTGATATGATACTTGTCAGTGTTGGTTTAAGCTTTTATCAGAATAGTATGTATATAATTACTTTTTCATTTTCTGTTAGCAAGTCAACTACTATTTTTTAAGAGGATAATATCACATTCTTTTTCAAAAACTTATGGCACAGTTTGATGTATCTTTACAAATATGTTTTGTGTCAATGTTTATACTATCCTGGCATATGTTTCTCTCAATGTGTTCAGTTAATAAATGTATATTACAACACTGACTTTGTTAAGCATACTTGTTTCTTATTTGACATAAAGATATTGCGAATAAAGACAAATTGTTTATTCTCTCTAAAAGGAATTGTGTATAACACATATGTATTATTGCTCGATAAGAAATTTAATTCTGTTCAAAGTTGCAGACAATTTTCCTTTTTTTAATTAGAATGAAGATGTAATGCTTGGTGAAGAATAGTCACTTTCATCTTTTCTGCGTGCCTACAATATAGTCGCGTATCTCATCGCGAAAAATAGGTTTTCCCGAGGAATCTAATATAAAATGCAAATTGATAACGTTGTTGAAGTAAATCGTAATACGCTGTAGCTAAAGAGCAGTCCAAACTATCGCGTGCGAACAAATATAACGATGACGAGGACTACGATTTTTTCATCGTACGCCCCGTTTCCGTAAATAACCAAATTATTAATAGACGTCGTTTCCGACATTTTGCCATTTTCGAAATCTCTGTCATCCTTCCGCTACAAGAATCCCATCTTTTTTTTTTAATTTTTTAATTTTATTTTTTATTTTTTTTTTTCTCTCTTTTTCTCTCGTCCCCTCCATTAATTATGGTGCTTAGATACTGGTTGATGTGACCTTGCTGATATGCAGTTTTCCAATAACCATCGGCCCAGTTTAACCGCACCGTGAATTCCTTTATAGCTATAAATAATTCAGTGACACTGATACAAGGTTCCGAAGAGTAATCTGCGAACGAAATTTCACGTTTCTTTGTTCGTTCGTGACCACTCTATGTTCTATACATTTCCGTAGTCTATATTCATATATCACGATCAGTGGTGTTTACACGTGACCATCAGCCGGCTTCGAGCTTTTGTTTTCGACTGTTCCGCAAGTTTACGCTCATACGGCGCATTATTCGAACTCATACAGCCGCTTAATCCCTTCGAAGCATTATAACTACGACAACCTTTTGTGTTTCCCGATTATTGCATCAGGAGAAAACCTATATCGCATCGCTTGATGTTTTCATGATCGAACCTCCTGCGTGCAGCCCCATTTAACCAAAGTAAGCCATCACAGTTGTTGTTTAGACGATAATTTCCCGTCACGTGATTCTTCAATTTGAAAAAAAAAGGAAAAGAAAAGAAATTAGCAAAATTGATTAATTTATTTGTTTTGAAGGATTAAGTAGGAAATGTGATATATGAATAACGAACTTTGTCACTGGACTCGATCGAAAGTTAGATAGCAGCCCGTATTTATATAAGCAATAAGAGAAAACCCAATTGATAGGACGATCCGTGGAATCCGTATAATCGTATTACCCTTGTTCCCCTTTTGAAAATCGGTTCTCGGCAGTCAGATACCTTCATGCTCCAGCGTAGAGTTATGCTCGATGTACCTGTGACAAAACGACTCTCCGATGCCTCGCGATACGTCGCCGACCGTGGGAACGGGCAGGAAATGCATTTAAACGTGCGAATTTTTGGGCGCAGTCCGAGGATGCCGGCCAGGAAAGACCGTCTTAATGTCGGAGGGCGAGGTGCGCGGCCTTTGCCTCAAGTCGCGGGAGATTTTCCTTCAGCAGCCGATCCTGCTCGAGTTGGAGGCGCCACTTAAGATCTGCGGCGATATTCACGGCCAATACACCGACTTGTTACGACTGTTCGAATATGGCGGTTTCCCGCCAGAGGCGAACTATTTGTTCCTTGGCGACTATGTAGACAGGGGCAAGCAATCGTTAGAAACGATATGCTTGTTGCTCGCCTATAAGATTAAATATCCAGAGAACTTCTTCCTATTGCGGGGCAATCACGAGTGTGCGAGCATAAACAGGATATATGGCTTCTACGACGAGTGCAAGAGACGGTACAATATTAAACTATGGAAGACGTTCACCGATTGCTTCAACTGTCTACCAATCGCCGCTATTATCGACGAAAAGATATTTTGCTGTCATGGTGGACTCAGTCCTGACCTTCAGGTGATTCGATATATGTTTCTTGAGGATTGTTTGGGAAAATTTGTAGAAATTTTTCATCTAATTGTATCGATTGGAAATTTGAAATCGCTTTTATTATTTATTCATCTTTTTGTTTGTCTGTTTCAAGGTTGGTAGTGGAACGGGAGTTGTGAAGTCTGCGTGTTTATGTAACTGGACATTTGTTTATCTTTATGATTATTGAAATTTTATGTAACATTGTTTATGGAAGTGATAACGTTCGTACAAGATCGTAGAAAGAGAAAAAAGGTGAAAGATCATGAAAAGGTATTTATGTTAGAGATATTTTAAATGTTGGATAAGAGACAAAGTTTTTCAAGGAGGAGGTCATTTCTGTAACGTTGCGTGCGGAAGTATCGCGTTAAAATCGATACAGTCTTAAAGAGCACCTCATAACGAGCGAAGAAACGAATTTGTGAAATACGTGCATCGATTTGTACTTCATTAAGTGTCTTAAGAAATAATTCGTAAAATTTTTCCAAACAATCCTCTGATAATTTATGATTACTTGAAACGTAATGGTAAGATGGTATTTTGGAAACGTATTGGAATTTGAAAATCATATGAGTGTAAATTGTTATTCGATGTTTATTTCTACTTAAAATTGCGATCTGACTCGTTAAAGTATATATCTATACTTTCAAAAATCTTATATCTGATTGAAAGGTTTTGTAACATGTTAGTTTATGAAAGAAAATTTAAAAATGAACTTGTTGTTTAAAATATTGATTTTCTAATTATATTCGATGTAAGGAGGAAAATAATAAAGTGGCGGAAGATTCTTTATAACATAAATTATCGATCTTTGCCATTCATAAAAAAAATATCTTAAAAAGAAAAAAAAATTTTTTTCCTTAAAGAAATTTGAATTGATTTTTTCTGTCTAACAGAATATGGAACAAATCAAAAGAATTATGCGACCGACAGATGTACCTGATACTGGCCTTCTCTGTGACTTGTTGTGGTCTGATCCGGACAAAGAAGTGCAGGTATATAATGTTTCCTCATTATGTAATTTGAACATCTATTATGGATACTTTGAGTAATATCAAACTAATGCATTGCGGACTTTGTCTACCATGTTCTAGGGGTGGGGTGAAAATGATAGAGGTGTATCTTTCACATTTGGCCCGGATGTGGTGTCGAAGTTTTTAAATCGCCATGATATGGATTTAATATGTAGAGCACATCAAGTAGTCGAAGATGGCTACGAATTCTTTGCGAAACGACAGTTGGTTACCCTGTTTTCCGCTCCAAATTATTGCGGAGAATTTGACAATGCTGGAGGAATGATGAGCGTCGACGAAACTCTAATGTGCAGTTTTCAGGTAGGATTCGTGAATATTCGATGTAGTTGTCGTGCATTGCATGGTGCATTTCGATTATTTTTATCCATTATCCATGATGTACGTACAGATTTTAAAACCATCAGAGAAGAAAGCTAAATACCAGTACTTAAGTTTGAACACGGGTCAAGCAACGAGACCATCTACACCACAAAGGAATCCAACCAAAAAGAAATGACAGCCTTGTACTCGGTTTTTCCTTCAGTTAAGGAAGCTCGTCGACAAGGCGACAAAATTTTTATTAAGGCGCGAACATTAAGAGCATAACATTGTACGATATGTTCTATCACTAACTAGCGGTTATGCCAAACAGATGAAAAGAAAACAAAACAAAAAAAAAAAAGAAAAAAAAAGAAAAGAACGGGTGAGACACGTAGTGGTGTTTGATTGTCGGGAATTATTTGTGATCGTTAAAGACTTTTAAAAAAGGCAGTTTTAATTCTTTTCTCCGAGTATGATTTAAATCTAGCATTTTAAGTAATTATTATTATGTTGACTGATTAGTGATTTAAAAGTAATCGTGTATCGGTAGAACTCGCCCGAGTGTGCTTGTTATGAAAAGTTCAAAAAGCAACAAAAACAAGAAAAAAGTTCTGACTTCGCTAATGCTTTTTCGTGAGTATTACTTTTCATGTTTTGGCATGAAGACGTTAAAAGGAAAGCATGTAAAATTTCTTTCTTTCCTGTCGTATAATTTAATCAGAGATAAATAATGTAGTAATTAAAAGTGACATTTTTTTTTTCATTCAGTTTAAATCAACGATCACTTCCGTGTTCTCTGGAAAATTATTTACATAATATATCTTCCAGATGTGAGTGATCCTTTTATTGCCATTAGCGTTTAAAAAGAATTTCGACATTCTCATTTCGACTATTTATTGCTTCCATGTTAAATGTTCAGTGTAATTATTAGACATTGCTGAGTATTCTTAATATTCCTCTTACTATTATTGCCATTGCTTTACAGCTGATTTGATTATTGTTTAATGAAACGCGTTTATCATGTACATAGATATTCTTTCATTTCGCTCCACATTATTTCTGTATCTTATCTTTTTCTTTATTCGTTAAGTCACGTCTCAACACAAGTTTAAATACTTTAGTTTTCAGTATTTCAAACTATTGACAGCACGTTCCAACGTATATTGTAGGAATATTAGATTGTTTATTCTCTAAGAACAAAAAATCAGAGAAGAAACAGAGAACCAGTATTTTTAAGATGACGATTCTATGCAAATTATTATTATCGCCTCTATTCGAAAGAAACAAAAGGGTATTAAGAAAGATTAAAAAAATTATTTCAAATGCAAACTATACTTATTACGAGGTTGTGTGTAGGCAGAAGAATCTCAGTCGTTGGGAGATTTTACTCTTGCGATAAAGTAGGTGAAGTATATATGTATATTAAACTGATCTACAAAATACCAAATCGTTAAAATGCAATTACACTTGCTATTGGAGAGAAAAAAGAAAGTCCTCGGATGATTGTCATTTTTAAGAACGTACTATTTCACTTTCAGATCTTTTGTTACTTTATTTTTCTAAATGTAACTCGATTATGGGGTTAATAATTAATCTACATAGAACGATATGCAGCATTTGTTATATTTAATATTTGCTTGAATAATATACTAACTATGTCATGTTTCATTTTTATTCGTGTTTCGTAAAACATTTATTAATTTCTTCAAATTATTTTCAGAAGAATGTCCTCAGATTAACTTTCACTTACTCTTTCCGTTCAGTTGTGCAATACAAAAAGTAGTTCGCATAAATGAGAATCTAGAAAGTATCAGAAACAATTTGAATACCGATGTGTATAAGAAATAGGTATTTAAAAATATTTACGAAAAATACATTAAAAAAAAAACGATACACTATTTGAAAAAAAGCGGAAAAACAAAAAAAAAAAAAAGAAAAAAAAGAAGTAAAGTACATTAGACCGCACTGTATCATTCGAATAACTTATAGTTCCGGAAGTGAACAATCATGAAGCGGTGAACGTATTATCTGAAAGTGAAATAAATCGACTTCGACGCATCGTTAGGCGAATAAAAACGCGGCTAGCGAGTTTGTTTATATGAATATTTATAATTTATGTTTGTTAAAATTATTATTTAAGCGGCGAGGATAAATCATTGTGAATTTTTTTCTATATTTACAAGACTTTTAATCGATTTATTATAGACGAATTATTATTGTGAATTGTTAAATAGACAAAATAATGGACTACGGGCATAATTGAAGTTGCGATGGTATATCATTTGAATTTACTTCTTAGTATTTAGAGAATCCTTGCAGAGGTCACGTGATTTAAGCGAGCCGACTTAAAAACGGCCATTTTTCTTCCTCCTCACACTCTCCGCCATTGACCCCTGTTCTATTTCCCTCTCCCTTGCCCCCCACCCCCCACCCCCGATATAAGTTTAATTATAAAAGAAGCGGTTGTGATCCCTCGATATGCGTTTTATCCGAAACTCATAAATTATATACACAGATATTATATTTGTAAACGGCTGATCGGTCGAGATTCGACGATTCTATATAAAATAAGAAATAAACGACAAATACTGCATGTTGTATGAATGTAATTGGCTATTATCTATTATTCATCGTTCGAATCTCGGCAGAACACGTCAATGCAATGACATCCTAAAGATGTAAAACTTTCAGATAATAAACATGCATATTGTTGTACAAACCTGTTCTTCTGGGTTTGATATTTAGTTCCACGACAGGCGTCTTTAAATACTGTTGATGATAATGAAAGAGAGAGAGAGAGAGAGCGGGAGCGAGAGCGAGAGGGAGAGAGAGAGCGATAAGATCGCGTGTATCGCATTGTTTCGTAAAAAAAGAAGATTTATAGTAAAATTTGGGCAGTGTTTATTTTATTCGTAGACAGCACGAACGAATAGTACAATAAACCATGGTGGCGAGAAAAATTAATAAATAGAACTCCGTGGACGATGATACGCACTGTGAGAAAAGAAATAATCAGGCAATAGGTATCGAATGGTTGTTTAGGATACGATGTAAATATTTTTTCACATGTCTGTATTTTTTTTTTTTTTTT